TATTTCAAGTTAGTTTGAAATGAAAATTATATGCAGATATTCTCTATGTTCTCGAGCCACAGACTTTCCCTAGGTTCTCATGTTTTTCAGTCTCATAAATAAAATGTTAGGCTAAGGAAAAAAAATGGGGTCTCCGATCAGCACAGCTGGTTTACTGGGACCTCAAGTACTGGTTTTGAATTCCAAAACCTGTTTCCGTGTTTTTTAGAATAGTTTGTAAATTAATGTACATGGAAATCTACATCAAGTTTTTGTGTAATAGAGTTACTTAAAAAAGTGCTTAATTAATTTTTAGTCTCTATTCTTAAGTATAAACAACTTATTTTTTTAAATAATTTAATGCTAGTTAATATTCAATTGAAAAAGTAGATTTATCAGTATAGGAAAATATTTACAATTTTATTACAGTAGTCTTTCATTTTCTGATGTAGATGTTATTTTGATTTTTTTTGAGTGATGAATAATGGGTTGCTTGGCCTGTATTAGTGGGGCATATTGCTAAATATTTTATTAAGAATACATACTGCATGGGCAATGATGGCTCACACCTGAAATATTTGCTACTCAGGAAGCTAAATCTGAGCATTATAGTTCAAACCAGCCTGGGCAAGAAAAATTTTAAATGTGTCAAATTAATATATTTTATATTGAAGTGATTAAAAAAAACAACTGGATGTAATCTTATTAACTGTATCATCTATGCTATAAGAAATAGAGACTGAAAAAAAAACCAGAAATGCCTTTAGTTTTTCACGAGTATTTTTAATTGGTCTTTGAGTGTGGTTGTCAGTGCTTCTGTTTGTGGATTTGTGTTTTTTTTTTTTTTTGTCTGAAAATTGGTCTCTAGAAATCAACAATGTTGACACAGAAGACCCAGTAGTAGAGCTGAAATTTCTCTCTTCAGTGATGCTTTTAATTGTTAAAATGGCCTACTACTGGTATAGGTGGTTTTTTTTTTTTAATTTACAAATGAAGTCAATATTGGCATCCTGCTTTTGGCATGTTATATGACCTAGCTTGGCTAGTGCTTGCTCTGGCTGTGAATTATAATTAACTACTGATGGTAATATAAAAAGGATCTGATTTGCAAGCTGCCATTTTTCCATCCTAGTATATGAACTGAATCCAGCTACCACAAGTCTTATAACACAGAAAAGCTAAAAATGCAGACTGTGTCCCATTTATATCCAAAGCTGATGCTCAGAAACCATGAATAGTGATGTCAGGGATGCAATGCAATCTGTTCTCTGTGAATTACTTTATTAGTATTGTGATAACATTGGCAGTATTGCCGTACCATGTTCAATTTCAGAGAATTATACTAATTCCTTCATGCTTTCTAGGCCAAACTTGTTCTTTTTCTGCTAAAAAAAAATTACCTATGACATAGAAAGAATTATTGAAGACAATTACACATTTCAGATTAAGTCATTACTGTGGATGTATCTTTTTTTGCCCACAATACTTTATCCCCTACTTTGTGACTTGAAACAGTCCCAGTTCATTATTTGCCTTAATATTTTGAGTTGATGGGTTCCATCAGATGATGTTTTTTAATGCATGTATCTATGGTCACTCACAGAGTTATGAGCTTTGCTAGTGATGAGGTGTTAAGGTGACTTCTCACTATCTCTCTGGTCTTTCAGTATGCTAACACAACTTTTTAGCACTGCAGGTGGTTTGCAAGAACTCACCTGGAGAATACTAAGGTTGTGAAGCCTCTGTTTGCCTCACATATACAAATCATATAAGAGAGGAACCAAGAAATGAAGAAGGATATGATTTTTGTTTGTTTGTTTTGGGAATTGATTTCAGCTCAGCGCCTCCTATTCTTGCTTTTATTTTATTTTATTTTTGTCACTCAAGGCTGGCAGTTTACCATTTGAACCATACCTCCACTTCCAGCTTTTTGCTGGTTGAATTTCACAGATTGTCTCCTAGGCTGGCTTCAAGCCTCAGTCTTTTTAGCTAGGATTACAGGTGTGAGCCACCAGCTTTAGCTGTGGTGAAATCTTTTAAGAACAAATGACAGGAAGAGAAAGTAGAACTACTATGATGATTTGAATACAAACTACCAAAATGGTAATATATAAAGAAGAGAGAGGAAGTGAACTAAGCCATGGATCAACTAACTTTGGGACTAGGTTAGCCTCGAGGCAATTTTTTTTCCCTTAGAAGTCCATATTTCAAGTTCTGGAATTTAAAATCTTATTCCAGATAAGTATATGGCTGTTTCAGTTTAAGAAAAATCACTTGTTTGATCTTAAAACTTAATTTTACCTTTCAGCAAACTTCAGAGAAGTGTAACTACCACAAGCTATCTTAACAGCTTTTTTCTTTATCTTCTCTAAATATTCCCTCAAAAACCATTGTAGAAATGGCTGTCATTAGGCTAATTGTGTGCAGCCATATGTGTGGCTTAGGGCATCGGCAGCAAGCAGTTGTATCAAGAACGTGATACAATATGCTTCGGCACACATCAGACACAAAGCAGCCAGGCTAGCCAAGATCTCAATCTTGAATTAACAGCGTCGATGAGCAGAATGACAGATTGTCCTGTGGTCCCTTTGGTATGGAAAGGAATTGACAATTATTTTAGGAAATGATGAGCATAACATGTTATAAATGCAAACATTTTTCAACCATTGAGTATCTGTAACAAGGAAATAAAGGATAGAAAATGAAGGATACTTTCAACTGACTGCAGAGTCTCGAAGAGAACCAGATAATGGCAGTGACTATAAAGTATGGGGCAGACTGAGCAGTCAAAACATCAACTCTGACAATAGAGTGGAAGAGTTAAAATTAACTAAAAAAGAAACAAGTTTATTCCCTAAGGTGCTGTAATTATGTGGCATAGTGCCATGACTGTATTACATAGTTTTGTTTCCAAATGACTGTGATGATTGTGTAGAAAGAAATAAGAAAGGAAGAGGGATATTTGTACCTTTCAATCATAAATCAAGAGAAATTAGATCAAGGTTGGCCAGAGTAAAAACAAGAGTCCTTATCTGAAAAGTAACTAAAGCAGTTGAGCTCAATTCTAGTTTAGGAGGCAAAGAGCTGAGGTTCAAAACCAGCATGGGCAGGAAAGTCTATGAGACTCTTATCTCCAATTAACCAACACAGTGCTGGAAATGTAGTTGTGACTTCAGTTATATAACAGCAGATTAGGAACAGACCATAGGCTCTGTAGGTTCCAAAACTGGCACATGCCTGTGAGTGTGTGTGTGTGTGTGTGCACGAGAAAACACACAAAGTACAACAAAAAACAAAACTAAAGCAAAATAGGGTGATATGCTTCAAGTGATAGAGTACTAGCCTAGCAAGCATAAGACCTGAGTTCAAACCCAATAGTATCAAAAAAAAAAAAACCACCAAGATTATGACCCACAAAACCATATTTAGAAAACAATTGTCTGTAATTTTGAATAACTCAAAAGTCTATTTTTCTACCTTGGAGAAAATTCCAGAGAGGGATTCAGTAGAGATTTTTATAATGTACCAGCAGTGATACTGTCAGGAGATAGAATTGGATTGTAAATATGGAATAGTATAAAGTGTATAGTGGAGGAATTTTTATGCATTCTGTTGACTTCTCTGGACGTCTTCAGTCTGTATGGTAACCTGAATGTGTAACACGGTGTCTGTGTGGTAGTCATCCCTGCACTGTACAAACACTGACGCTTTTGTAGGAACTCTTGTGATGTTTGATGTTTGCCTTGCCTTCTATTACCCCAGTAAGGGTGAGCTACCACCCAAGGGATTGTGTTAAATAGAATTCATCATCTATGAGGGATTGAGGGAATGAATCAGAGGGTTTATACAAAACTAAACATCAGAATAGCATGCCTGTAAGTTTTAAATATGCATTGAATGTGGTGAGAAACAAACCCTGGTTTTAGCTAGAATTTTCTGCCAAGTCTAACTCATTGGAACCTCTTAGGATCTTGAAAAACTAATTTATTTTTTTCAATAATGTTCTAGGTGCATCCAAATTATAGCTAATGATTTAGTATGGGTTTTGGAGAGACTTGAGTAAAGAAGGAACATACAAGCCGGGTGCCGGTGGCTCATGCCTGTAATCCTAGCTACTCAGGAGGCAGAGATCTGAGGATCATGGTTCAAAGCCAGCCCAGGCAGGAAAGTCTGTGAGACTCTTATCTCCAATAAACTACCAGAAAACTAGAAGTGGCATGGTGGCTCAAATGGTAGAGTGCTTGCCTTGAGCTGAAGAGCTGAGGGACAGTGCCCAGGCCCAGAGTTCAAGCCACATGACCAACAATAAAAATAAACAAAAAAACAAGGAACATACATAGTAAACTGAGTATTGTGGTACACACTATAACCCCAACTCTCAGGAGGTCGAGGCAAGAAGATCAATCATGAGTTCTAGGGCAGCCATGGCTATATAGTAAAACTCATCTCAAAGAAAACAAACTGAAAAACTAAAAAATGTTATTTTAACAGATGAGCCAGACAGTATTATTCCAGAAGCAAAGAGCAGGGAGACCCTTTATTGGACTTACAAGGATTACTCTTGCCATCCCTATTTGTAGTCAGTATGTGAGTTAGTGAAGGCATGAACTAAAGGCAAGAGAAGTATATGACAAGAAAGTTTAAGACTTGTTGGAACCTGGTAACTTCAGATATATACTGTAATAATTATTAACGTTTACATAGCATTTACGTGGCAGTATGTGGATGATTTTTACCTTTATTGTATCTTTATTCTCAAGTATTTTTGGAAGAGTAGATATGGATATCATTACAAATTAAATAATTTTTAAGTTGCCATAGTTAATCATCATTAGTATCAAAATTCAGACTTTGAATCAGTCTCATCCCAAGACAAGCTGAAAGTGTATCGATGGATTAAAAGGCTCAAATAAAGAATGACATTCACATTTCCATTTAGAGACAGTTGCCTCCTGCAAGACTGGCTTTATGTTGATCATTGGCATAAGCATAATAGAAACTTTCTTCTTTGTTTTTCTTAGTGAGACTCCATGACAGCATATCGGAAGAAGGCTTCCATTACTTGGTGTTCGATTTGTAAGTATATTCATTTCCTTTTAGAAGATATTTGAGATCATGTTCAATTAAACATGACTTTTCTCATTGCCTGGCCCAAATTAATCACCACTACATTATTTTTAAGTGTTCTTTCAAGTCATGTTCTGCCCTAATTCTTTTGAAGAGAAAACGACTACTTGGTAATGTTTTATGTGAAATTATTTATGAGTCTGTTTCTCTCTGCATTGGATATCATGATAAACAAAAATGATGACAAATAAAATTGTCTGTTGGATGTTTAAGAATTTTTAAAATGTATATGATTTTTTTTAAAGACTGAAAGGAAGAAACTGTGATGATTTAAGTTGATTTAAACTACTTGGGACTTTTAAACTGAGTTTCTCTCAGGAAGATAGTGCTCCTGGCAAGTATACAGAAAAGCAGGTGACATGCATGGCTGGTTGGTGTTTTATATGAAAGTCTCACTTTCTTGAAATCGTTTTGATACTACTTATGAAGAGATTAAGAAATGGCTGATTCATTTGACATAGTCATCTCACTTCTGGAAACAAGCACATGGCAAAAATACACTAACTATGGATAAAGTTGCCATACTGGTGAATCAAATGTGTGTGCTGTAAAATAAACAACAAAGCTATACTCTGCATAGCCCTTGTATGTAGATCCTTTCCATAGTTGAAGCTAATGTTTGGTAGCCATGTTGTTGATAGTAGCCCTACCTCTTTAGTCCTTTCTCAAACATACTGTTTTTGTTCTTGCTTTCTAGTATTTAAAGAACCTTTCTCTTACTGTTTACTTGCTTGATCTTCCTTTAGCTATTTAATTTTGAGATAGGGTCTCACTCTTTAGCCTGTACTCCAAGCTGGCATGGAAATCATGATCTTCCTGTCTCTGTCTCCAGACAACTGAGCCATCACACCTGGCCCTTTAAGCCACTGTTTTAGAGTCAGGTATGCTAGTCATAAATTCTTGATTTACCTTTTTTGAAGAATGTCTTGGTTTCCCTTCATTCATAATTGATGTTGGTAAATTCTTTTTTTTTTTTTTAAATTGTGAGAATACCGTACAGAGGAGTTACAATTACATGGGCAAGATAATGAGTACATTTCTTATCAAGCATTGCAGCCTCCTTGTTTTCTCCCTTCCCATCCCTTCCCATACTCCTCTCCCCACCTGGTCCTCCCCCCACCCCCCACCAAAGTTGTTAAGTTCATTTTCAACATAACAACTTGTGTATCTCATTGTTGCAATGAGTCCAACATAACAACTTGTGTATCTCATTGTTGCAATGAGTCCACCTGTATCCCTAGTTAAATGATTTGTTTTTTTCCCTTCCCCTCCACAAATTATACCAACATCAAATACAGTGAAAGTATGGGTTATACTGTGGGGGAGGGACATACAAAGCAGCATAGAAATCATCTTATAAATATGTTAGAAACAATTGCATGAAAGGAAAAAGAAACAAAAAAAAATTGAATACTTATCTTGGTGTTCATTTCCCTAACATCAACTTATCTGACCTTTTCCGCTTGACTCAGACATATACTAGTTATTGCAAATAAGGGAAACCATGGGACCTTTGTTTCTTTGGGCCTGGCTTACTTCACTTAATATAATTTTTTCCAAGACTTTCCATTTCCTAACAAATGGGGCAATGTCATTCTTTCTGATGGAGACATAGAATTCCATTGTGTATATATACCACATTTTCTTGATCCATTCATCTACTGAGGGGCATCTGGTTTGGTTCCATATCTTAGCTATGGGTAAATTCTTTTCTTCAGTAGTGTGCTACTTTCTTCTCCATGCGTAGTTTTTTGTTTTGTTTTGTTTTGTGCCAGTCCAGAGGCTTGAATTCAGGGACTGGGTCATTTCCCTGAGTTTTATTGCTGTCCAAGACTAGTGTTCTATCACTTGAGCTACAACTCTTAATTGGAGATAAGAGTAACTATACTTTCCTACCATGACTGGCTTTGAACTGTGAGCTTCAGATCTCAGTCTCCTGATTAACTAGGATTACAAGCATGAGCCATCTTCTCTCAGGTAACACCTTGTTTTCAAAAGAGATATTTTCCCTCATTCTTGTTATTTTACCCCAAAAGATAATAAAGTATTTTTTCTCTCTGACTGCAGTAGTGATTTTTCCTTCTTCATTGATTTTTTTTAATTTGTGATGTGTCTTGCCTTACATTTCTTAATTTATATTTTCTGGATTTGCTTAGCCTCAGGAATATGTAAGTCTATGTCCGACAAACTTGGGAATCTTTTAAATATTATTTCTGTGAATTCTCTTTTAGCCTCAACTTTCTCTGCTTTAAAAAACAGTATTTTAAGTAGTTGTACAAAGTGATTTTCATTTCTTACTGCTTTTGAAATTCTGGAGACATAATGTTGGATTTTTGTTGTTGTCATTAGAGTTCCATAAATTTCTGAGATTCTGCTCTCTACTGCCCCACCTACCACACCCTGTATCTATTTTTTCTTTCTGTTTTTTTGTTTGTTTGTTTGTTTTTGTTTTTTTGTCGGTCATGGGGCTTGAACTCTGGGCCTGGGCGATATCCCTAAGCTCTTCAGCTCAAGGCTAGCATTCTACCACTTGAGCCACAGTGCCACTTCCTCCTTTTTTAATGATTGGGCATTTACATTGCTTTTGTCTTCAAGTTTGGATTGCCTGATTCTTTCCTCTGTTTGTTTATTTTCCCATTCTGCTATTTGGCTTATTCATTAGATCTTTGTAAAAACTGAGTTATTTCTTTTTTTCAATTATAATTTCCTCTTTTTCTTTCTATCCTGTATTTCTTTGCTAAAATTTTCCATATTTCCTATTTTTTCCATGTGTGTTCACTTTTGCATTTGCTATATCAAAATATTCCTCAAGGTATCCCAACAACATCTTCATTTTGGCACTGCTGTCTGCTGATTGGTGTCTCATTGGAATGGAGCTTTTCTGGCTTTTGATAATTAAAGATCATTTTCATTATTGTCTGCTGCACATTTCGGGGTATTATTTTATGGAACTCTATATCTGCTTAATTCTTCCTTGCAGCAAGCTTTCTCACCAACAGGAATAAGGAGGTGCTATCTTTATAAACAAATAGCTCAGGTCTGGACTCAGCCTCCACAAACTGTCCTCAGCCTACATGGGTGGATGGGTGGGCAGGAATCACAGCACTGAATCACAGGATTTTATTCAATGCAAGAAATGTACTATATTCTATTTAATTATTTATTAAGAATCAGATCTGTTATTTCTTAATGGGCTTAATTGGTCAACTACCCTTTGTTATGCAAAACAAGGCATGATACTATGAACTATGTACTTCATTCTACAATGAATAGTGGAATCACAGACATTTTTTTTTTTCCAAATTCTTATGCCTTTTTAACCAACAGGAAGATTTGGGCTTCAAAAATTTACATATTGGGGTTGGGAAGGTGGCTCAGTGGTAGAGCACTTGCCTTGCATGCCTGAGGCCCTGGGTTCAATTCCTCAGCACCACATAAGCAAAAAGAAAAAAAAAGCTGGAAGTGGCGCTGTGGCTCAAGTGGTAGAGTGCTAGCCTTGAGCTGAAGAGCTGAGGGACAGCAGCCCAGGCCCAGAGTTCAGGCCCCACAACCGGACCCTCCCCCCCCAAAATTTTACATATTATAGAGAAAAAATAATAAATATATGGAGAAACTAATGGAAGAAAAAAAGATATCTGAAAACGTACATTTGTTCATTCACTTTGCTGTCAAACCTTGCTATTTAAAGAGAAGAATTACTCTCCCTGGTGGGGGTGGGATAAGAAAAGGGAATGACTTTCTCAAAGAGAAATCTGGACCATAAACTCAAGCAGATTAGGGGAGGGAAAAGAACTCTTCCTGCATCCATGGAGTTTTAGTTACCCTAGCTCAAAATAATTGTTTTGCCTCCCTGACACATTTTTAGGGTAGCAAATTAGGCTTTCGTTCCTCCATGAGAAGTATTCCAGTGTTAGGGTAAATCCTCTGACTTCTCAGTTCCCACAGTCACCAAGTTATTTATAGTTATGCCTGAATTTTATAGAATCCCATATAAAGAGAATAATGAGAATCAGACTTTAGTTTGTTGTGTCACATGTCATAATTTTAAATTTCATTAAAATGATTGATCATCTGGTGCAGGTGATAATCTAATCACTCAGGAAGCTGAGATCTGAGGACCATAGCTCAACGCCAGTTTGGGTGAGAAAGTCCATTAGAGTCTTATCTCCAATTAACCACCAAAAAAAGTGTCAGAAGTAGAGCTGTGTCTCAAGTATGCTAGCCTTGCTCAGAGACAGTGCCCAGGCCTCAGGGCTGGCCAAAAAAAAAAAAAAGAAATGAAGAACATAAAAAGTAAGAATTAACAAAATAAATAAATAAAAAGATTTACAAAGCTGGGTGCTGGTGGCTCACAGTTGTAATACTAACTACTCAGGAGGCTAAGATCGGAGGATTCTGGTTCAAAGTCAGCCCAGACAGGAAAGTCCTTAAACTCCTAACTCAGATTAACAACTAGAAAACCAGAAGTGGTGCTCTGGCTTAAAGTGATAGAGTGTTAGCCTTGATCGAAAAAGCTCAGGGACAGCACCCAAGCCCTAAGTTCAAGCCCCACTGATGACCAACAAAAAATAAGATTTACAACTACAATATAGGAATGATATTTGTCTGTTTTTATTGTTTCTGAAATCAAAACAGAGACCTCTAAAGGTGAAATTTACATACAAACTGTAATAATATGAAATATGATATGTCCAGCAATTAATCTCTACTTCTACAATGCAAAGCTCAGACTTCTTGCCATTATTACCTAGTATTTAAACTTTAAGATATGGATTTTTACTGTTCTCATCAAAATGCTTTGTCAGTAAATGAGATTAGTTGATACTATTCAAAAAAGCACTGAGCTTTAGAGACAATTGAAGAGTAATGGTTACGATACAGGTTTATAGTGGCCCAGAAGAATACAACCAATAAAAGTACATTATTCTTCAAAAGTATCTACTTGTGGT